AGAATAGAATAGAATAGAATAGAATAGAATAGAATAGAATAGAATAGAATAGAATAGAATAGAATAGAATAGAATTCTTTATTGGCCAAGTGTGATTGGACACACAAGGAATTTGTCTTGGTGCAAATGGTGCATAAAGAATATTCTTTGCTCTGATATTTGAAAAGGGTCTCAGTTTGCAAAGACTAATAAAATTGTCTTAAGAAGGAATCATTTAAGAAATTCTTAAATAACTTGTTTGAAAATTGGTATATTGTACTTAACAGATCTGTGACTATTCTAAGGTACCTGATGATTTAAAAAGTTATTATTCTACCTCTTATTTTGTTAATGATTCTATGGCAATGATCTGTAAATAAAGCAATTAATTTCATATACAGTTGCTTATATTGGAGCAAATATGTTTGTGAAAGTATTTTTTTAAGTGCTGGATGAGTCCTAAAGTGCTTGAGACTAGGAACTACATGTCAATCACAGGACATGCACACAAATTCTACAAAAGGGATGTTTCCCAACTATCTAGCAAGTATCGTAATATTGAAACTACTGAAAGCATATTATATAGCAATAGCTCTTAGACTTATATATCGCTTCACAGCCCTGTCTAAGTGGTTAAAGAGTCAGCATATTGTCCCCAACAATCTGGGTATGCTGGAATATTAAAATATGTGATTTCTAAAAGCTAGCATCTTGGTTAAAAAGCTTTACCTGGTTAGTAAGCATCCATGTATGAACATATCTGTATGGCTAATAGTGAAATTAGTTATAATGAACTAAGCAGATTGGTATCTACAAATGATTAACCATAAGATACTTGCTTGGAAGGGGCTCAGGAATTTTCAGGAATTAAACACCTTTGAACATCTTAAAACATGATTTCCAGTTCTGGCTTATTATGGAAGAAACAAACAATGCTCTAGAAACTCATTTATTAATCTTCCTCACTTGCCAGAAGGAGCCTACTAAGAATATTCAATGAAGGGTGCAACATGTCTGTTCATATTTGAAGTATCTCAGTAACTCAATAACTATTTGCAATGTAAATACTCTGTTAAACTGGAATTCCTCTCAAGAACTTCAGGTTTTAAAGAAAGCACTATTCTATTAAAGGTGAAAAATACCATGCAACTCAGAATTTTAATAATCCTTAAACTCCTCAAGGCAAGAGGTGGCCATTACATTTCTGGAGCTCAAATTATTTGAAGCCAAGCCAATAGCATAGGTTTTCTATGGTAGCCCTTCTCCAATTTTGCACCATTAGAACTTGTTTAGTCTGAATTCCTAAGATTGGCCCTTCAAGCCCAAAATGTGTTTCTCTGAGGCTAAACTCAGGCCTCGTGAAAGTAGAGATAACGTATACTAAACTACTGGTTTAAAGCATCCTTTTTCCTTCTTGGCCTTGCCCCATTAGCTATGAGGGATGATTTTTAGTCCACATAGAAAAAGATAAGTGACAAATAAGACTTCATCCTTGGGATTCTCTCCAGGTCTTCTACTCAGCATGGGATATGATAGGTCAGGGCACTCATTAAACAGTGTATAGCAGAAACAGAGCACCAATTATACCTAACCAGGTCTCCAACGTAATCTCCAATGATCCCAACAGATATTCTGCCTCTCCTATGGCATATGTAACCATTCTTGAAGTACCTAACCGCACAGTGCCTTTACTCTGGTACAGTGTCATGCCATCCCCTCAGCAGTCCGAAGGCTGATACAGGAAGATTTCCTATCCAGAGACAATGCCTCTGTAACTTTGGAAACACAGAAATAACAGAACATATACTTCTCCAGTGATATTTGTATTAGCCTAATTTTACCATTATTGAATTAATGGTAAATTTACACAGGATAATTCTACATTTGCCTACTGCTCTCAGATACCAACCTTGCTACAACATTCAGTGTTATTCTGTTCTGCAAATGGAATGCAGAAATGCGTGCCCACAATAAACCATTTTGAGACTATAACATTATACAGCAATGCAATAACTACTTAGGCATTTCCAACTATGTGTGTGAATGTAAAGGCACACAATTCAGATCATCCATTCAAGATGATGATTCAGTAAAAGTGGCAGATGATCTCAGCCAAATGAGAGAGAGTATTTCTTTCTGAACTGTAAACATTATGGAAGATAACACAAGATCACCACTTGTTTATATGACAAAGCAGAATTGAATTTTGAAGACTAGTCCATTCATGGTGGTTACTTATGATAGATATATGCAATTTTCAATTTCAAAAGCAGATTGCTTATATTTCTGAATATCAACTTCTAGGTATAACCGCAATAGAGGGAATCTAACTGGCCATTGTAGAAAGCAATATTATAATAAGTTAGATCTGGCTTGATTCCAAAAGGCTCTTTCATTAATTTCTCCATAATATAATTTGCTTCTATGCTATTACTTTTGTTAGATCATTTTGTTGGATTGTTACTATG